CAGCTTGGCCTCATCCCAGCTGTCCTTGCAGTGGTGAAGCGGCTGCCAGAGCATGTACAGGTGGATGACCCTGCTGCCCAGAGGAAACTGGCCAAGAAGCTGGAGAGGCAGCAGGTACTGGGTGACAGGCTGCACACCTGGGGCAGCTGTGCTGCAGGGGGCCTGGGGGGGCACATGGTGGGACCAGGGCCTGCTCTCTGAAGGGCAGAGGGGAACTTTGCGTGCCCTGAGCAAGTGCTGGGTGTGACTGGGGCCCTGGAATGAGCAGAGCTCTGGGTGAGCCATCACAACACTTGGCTGCAGGTACCTCTGAGGCAGGACTATGGCACCAAGGTCAACCTGTTCTCCCACCTCCACCAGTACAGCCGGAAAAAGCCACTGACGCAGCAGATGAGGTACAGGGCCTCCCCAGCCCAAGGCTCTGCTTTGGCTGGCCTGGCTGCAGAATGGCTCTGGAGGAGGAGTGTCATAATTCTGCATGTGGGATACACCCAGTGGAGTGGTGGGGGGCGTTTCGCTTGCTTTGAGGAGTGGCAGTAGGGGAAGCCCAATATCTTTCCTATGGAGAGAGTGCAGGGCCACAGGAGAAGGGGCTGTGGGGTGAGCCTGGCTCCTCAGGTTACTGCCAGCCCCTTTCTGGGCCGTCCCTTGGGTTGTTGGGCTGGGGCTCATAAATGGGTTGCGTGTTCTGGGCTGCAGAGGTGCTGACAGCTCCCTGCACTGGTCCCTGCAGCATCCCCTCCACAGTGATCCACCCAGCAGTGGTGCGCCTCGGCCTCCAGTACTCCCAGGGCATCATCAACGGCTCCAACGCCCGATGCATCGCGCTGCTCGAAGTCTTCAAACAGGTACCTGAGCAGCTGCCTGGCTGCAGGGACGCCGTGCTGCCTGCAGGTGTGTGTTCCTGTGCCCTGACTGGCGGGGCTGTATCTGTGCTCAGTCATCCTCAGCCTCTTCCTTTGGCTCGTGCCACGGCAGGGTCCTTTTCTGGCGCTGTCCCTGCTGGTTTGAGTCCCTGGAGCACCCTTTGCCCCTCCAGGCAGCGTGTCAGGCTGTGCAGGACATGCGAGCCCCGACTGCAGCCCTGAGATCATACTCCCTTTCTCCTTGTCTCAGCTGATCCGGGATTACTCCACTCCCCCCAATGAGGAGCTCTCACGGGACTTGGTGGCCAAGCTGAAGCCACACATCAGGTGAGGGCTCCCAGTGCCAGAGCAGAGGGACCAAAGCTCCACAGAGTGTGGTACATTGTTCACATCTCTGGGGGTTGGTGTCCCCCCAAACTTTGGCTGACTTTCCTAGGCTTCTGCCTTCCTGCCCACCCTCCCTCTCCCTGTCTTGGCCCTCCAGGCTGCTTTGGAGCTAAGCCCATTTCTTCCTTAGTTTCCTGAACCAGTGCCGGCCTCTCTCAGCCAGCATGGGCAATGCCATCAAATTCCTCAAGAAGGAGATTTCATGCCTGCCAGACACCCTGAGAGAGGATGAGGTGAGTGGCCTTGCTCAGTGGCAGGCTCCAGGCCCTGGGCGAAGGAGCTGAGCAGGGATGGGATGTAGACACAGAACAGTGCTGCAGTGGAATTGAAAACTTGTTACTGGGGGGAAGAGCCCGATCCCCACCTGGCTCAAATCAGGGAGCTGCTGAGAGCAAGAAAGGTGTGTGTGATGTCTCTCCCCAGGCAAAGGAGAAGCTCCAGGACGTGATCGACAAATACCTGCGAGAGAAGATTGTCCTGGCAGCTGAGGCCATCTCAAGGTCTGCCTTTGAGAAGATCAATGACCACGACGTGATACTGGTGTATGGATGGTGAGCACAGAGCACAGGCAGCTGAGCCGGCGGGTAGGAGAGGGGATGGAACAGCATGGGAGGTGAGGCTGTGATGGTCCTGCACAGGGCTCAGCACTGTCTTACCTGGTATGAAGTTGGATTCCAAGAACCCCAGAGCCACAGCTCCCTCCACCCAGGGCACTTACAGAGCAGCCAGGGTTGTTCACTGGATTTCAAACAAACTGCAACACAGCCAAATGTCGGGAAGCAAATAAACGGAAGTATGCATCCCAAGAAGTAGAGGTGGGGAAAAGAACCAGAGATTGCTGCAGCAAGAGTCCAGGTATGCTATGTATGCTGGGCACAGCAAGGAGCAGGGGCAGGAGGCCAACGCAGGCTGGGAGTGTCGTGAGAGGGTGTGGAGCAGCAGAGTCCCTTGTGCTGGTCACAGACAGGGAGGTTGTTAAGCAAAGGCCTTTTTTGCTTCTTTACCTTGGACTGTACTAGCAGCAATTCAGGCTGCAACAGGTGAGTGCTGCTTCCAGGGAGGGCTGAGACATCACCTTTCCCAGGGTGCTTCCTTGTGCAAAGACAGGGAGACGTGCCCTGGGAGGCGTCGAGGCAGGAGGGCTCGGGAAGGGCAGCACTCACAAGGATCAGGGTGGTGTCGTGGCCAGCTGGGAGCCTGCCCTGGTGGGAGGCAGCTCCTGACGGGCGCCCCGCAGCTCCTCCCTGGTGAACCGGACGCTGTGCGACGCCCACGCCAAGAAGGGCCGCGCGTTCCGCGTGGTCGTGGTGGACAGCCGGCCGCGCCTGGAGGGCCGCGAGACGCTGCGCCGCCTGGTCCGCCGCGGCATCCACTGCACCTACGTCATGATCAACGCCATCTCCTACGTGCTGCCCGAGGTGAGGGCTGCGCCACGGGCCGGGGAGGCTGCGCCGGGACCAAAGGTGCTTACACAGCCCGTGCTGCCCCGACAGGTGTCCAAAGTGCTGCTGGGAGCCCACGCGCTGCTGGCCAATGGCTCGGTCATGTCCCGCGTGGGCACCTCGCAGATCGCGCTGGTCTCCAAGGCCTACAACGTGCCCGTCCTGGTCTGCTGCGAGACCTACAAGTTCTGCGAGCGGGTGCAGACGGATTCTTTTGTCTCCAACGAGCTGGGTACGGCTTCTGTCCCTCTCCTCCCACCTGGGACCTTCTCTCCCAGTCCCTGCTGTGGACCGTGACAGCTGCTCAGCCCTGCCATCCCTCTTCCTGGGCAAGGGGTCACTTGCAGGCAGGGGCATGTGGCAGGCAGTGGTGGTGTGTGCTGCTCCAGGGGCGGGATGGAGAGCTACTGTCCCTCTCCCGGTCCTGATTGCTTCTCCACTCTGCAGATGACCCTGATGACCTGATTGTGCTCCGGAAGGGCCAGGCCCAGCTTGGGGGCTGGGCAGAGAACAAGTCCCTACGCCTTCTTAACCTGGTCTACGATGTGACGCCCCCAGACCTGGTGGATTTGGTCATCACAGACTTGGGCATGATCCCCTGCACCTCAGTGCCTGTGGTCCTGCGCGTTAAGAATGTGGATCAGTAGTCAGAGCAGCTGCATGGACACTAATAAACCAGGCCCCAGTACTCTGTGTGTGCCATCTGTGGTGTGGCAGAGCCCTGGCACCCGTGCCATCCATGTCACCGCTGGCACAGCTCTGCACCTTCCTTGGGGGCTCTCCTCCCACTCCATGCTGCAGCATAGACGGGTCTTCCCTGTCCCTAGGCCCCTCCTCTGGGGAAACGATGACGGTGTGGTGATGGCCCCTGGCTTACCCTCCTCGGAGATTTGGTGGCACTCGGGCTGTGCTGCTGGTGTGGGAGAGCGCGGGTCGCTCTGGCCCTGGCCGCTGGCACCTTTCCCGGTGCCCGGGGTAGGGAAAAGGGGACCGGCGGTGCCCCACGGCCCGGGCGGCACCGCCACCGGCACCGGCACCGGCGCGGCTCCCGAACCGCCGGGGGCGGGGCCTGCCGCCGGGGGCGGGGCCATGCAAATCGCACTGATGTTCTGGCAGCGGCTGGGGCTCAGAGAACTCCTCGCGGGGCGTGTCTATGCAAATTAGGCTTCGCCGCGCGGCATGACGGGACGCAGCCGGCGCAGAGACCCCGCTGCCCTCGTGTGCGGGCCGGGCCGTGCGGGAGCTGCGGGCTCACAGCGCAGGGAACGAACTAATACCGGCAGGTCCCTGCACTCCGGGCGTGCTGGCCCGTGCGACATCACCGAGCGTGACTGCGTAATTTATAGTAGGGGAGAGGATATTCACGCTGTCCCTGGTTTCAGTGTTGGCGGGGGAGTTGTAGTCAGGGTTAGGTACAGGTAGTGTGCACACGTTGTTTGTTGGTATTCCCAATTCCAGACGCAGCAGCAGTGTTGCGAGCCCGACTCCACGGGGCCTCGGCGCCCAGTCCCTGCCCCATCTCCATCTGTGCAGAAGCCCAGCCTCGCCTCTCAGGCTCCGGCCCGCGGGTCCAGGAGAGCCTGCAGCCCCACTGTGTGCTCGGTGGGACGGCAAGACTCGGGTTAGCGTCCTGGCCAGTCCTCCGACCTTGCAGGAGGGACGGACAGGGGCAGAGACTTCGTCCAACTCGGGGTGCGTCAAATTCCCACTCCAAGTCCGGCTGAACTTCCGGACTCGGCCGGGTGTGACCCGGGCAGGGCTCAGCGAGCGAGACCATCTGTGCCCCCCACTCCTGGCGAGGACCCCTTTCACGGGGTGTTTCCCTGCTCCTGCGGACACGGCATGGGACAGGCCAGGATCATCCCGGCCTCGATGGCAGCACTCCATAGGCAGATCCCTTTAGGGATCTGCTGGCCCATTCCTGCAGAGAACGGCGATATGTCTCTCCGGCACGGCCTGTTGGGAGAGCTCCCTGGGATGCCCCTGGACCCACGGCTAGCCTCGCACTGCGCACCGGGAGCACGAGCGGACTGCCCTCGCTGCTTTCCCGTCCTGCCGGAGAATCCCAGACCCCTCGCGAGCCCTCCTACACCCGCGGTCCGAGATGCCACGGCTCCCGTGTGCCTCGCCCCGTCCTCGGTGCAGGGCCGGGGTGCGCACTGCCGTGTCACCATCGCGGCGAGCAGAGACCGCCAGCGCTGCGGGCACGCGTCAGGCTCTGCAGGGAACAGAACCCCTGCACTGAGAGAGTAACTTCCCTCTATACAACCCAGTACAGCTCAGATCTGTTGTTGGACCACGAGACCAGGGGAGAGCGCGAACGCAGTCCCCCACTACCACAAATTATGCAGTCGAGTTTCCCGCATTTGGGGAAATCGCAGGGGTCAGCACACCCGCGGCCCGCACGGCCCGGCCCGCGCCAAGCCCGCGGACGCGCCAGGGCAGCGCGGGCTCGGCGCGGCACCGGCCCCGGCATGCCGCGCGGCGGAATCTCATTTGCATGGACACGCCTCGTTAGGGCTGGCTCATGCCCCGGCCCACCCCACACCCGTCGCGTCCTTGTAACGTCATCGGTTTGGCCATCCCCGGTTCCGGTTCGGTGCTGGCGGCGCGGCCCGCACCGGGGCGGCGGCTCTGGGAGCCCCCGATGGCGTCGAGCGCCGCCCGCGGGCCGCCGTGCCGGGAGCGGAGCGGCCGGGAGCGGCCGGGACGACGATCGCGTTCTGCCGGGCGGAGCCGGAGCCGTAGTGGGGAGCGGGAGGGTGAACAGAGAGCGCTCCGTATGTACCGGGGGTGGACGCAGCGAGGCGGGGGCGCTCCCCGGGGTGCGAGCTGGTGCCGCCGTACGCGGTGCTGCGGGACGCCGAGTGGTGCCAAGGGGCCTTGCCGCGCCCCGGCGCTAATTGCGGTGTTTTGGGGCAGGGGAGGAGCAGCCGGCGGCAGGTCTGCGCTGTGAGCATGGAGCAGAAGCTGCGAAAGCCCCGGGGAAACCGGGGCGGCCCCGAGCCTGTCCCGACGGCGCGGCGGAGGGCAGCGCCAACGGGGCAGTGGCGGCGCCGCGGGCTGCCGGGCGGCGAGGCAGGAAGGGCAAGGCCGAGGTGCTGCTGGTGGAGCTGTCCCGGGCCCCGGAGCCCATCCGCGTGGAAAAGGGGCTGGGCAGCGGCGAGGAGCGGGACGGCGCGGAGACCCCGCGGGGCGGGCGGCCCAAGAGGAGGGCGGCCAAAGTGTAAGTGATGGTGGCCATTGGGGCCGGGGACCTGTGCTCCAGAGACACGTGAGAGGGCTGGGAGTGTTCAGCCTGCACAAGAAAAGGCTCCAGGGAGACCCTAGAGCCTCTTACGGTGCCCAAAGCAAGAGGAGAGGGCCTTTGGACAAGGGCCTGTAGGGACAGGACGCAGGGGAATGGCTTTCCACTGTGAGAGTTAGGGAAGAAATCCTTCCCTGTGAGGGTGCTGAGGCCCTGGCACAGGGTGCCCAGAGGAGCTGTGGCTGCCCCATCCCTGGGAGTGTGCCAGGCCAGGTTGGATGGGCCTTGGACAGCCTGGTCTAGTGGGAGGTGTCCCTGCCTTTGGCACGGGTTTGGAACTGGGTGAGCTTTAGAGTCCCAAACCATTCCATGATTCAAGGATCCGTCTCCCCAGAGGGTCTCAGTGTCTGTCCTGTAGGACTTTGTCCCCTGTTGGTGGGATGTACTGATGCCTGACAGACCAATCCTTTCCCACTTTAGGGAATGTGTTTGGATCCAGGAGCCCCTGGCAGGGCGCAGCAGCTGCCTGTGGCAGGAGGAATTTCCTTGGTTCCTGACAGAGCAGGAGGAGCTTGTTGGTGGTAGCAGGGCGAGCTCCAGGGAGTTCAGGGCGGGGGAGGCTGTGTGCTCAGGCACAGCTGGAGCGGGTTCATTGCCCAGAGCACGGCCTGGAGGGAGGCAGGGAGGCAGGGCTGGCCACCCTGTGCCGTGCTGCTGCTTACCTGCAGGCGCTGCCCTGGTGTTGCAGGGCTCTGCTGTACCTGCAGGAGCTGGCGGAGGAGCTGATGCCCGCCTGCCAGCCCCCTGCTCCCGCCAAGGGCGCGCCCGAGCCCAGCCAGAGGAAGCGCCGGAGGAGGAGGAGGGAGGAGGACGCGGACAGCGACGACCCCGCACGAGACGCTGACTTCGTGCCCTCGCAGGAGGTGCTGCAGGCAGAGGAGGAGGAGGAGGAGGGCAGCGACACGCTGCTCAGCGAGGCGTCGGAGCCAGAGCTGGAGGCACCCCGAGGGCACGGCGGGAGGACGGCAGCCACGGGGGTGAGGACAGGCACTGGGGCTCTGCCTGGGCCCCTGCTCGCCTGTGTCCCAGCACCCACAGCTCCAGGTGGCCCTGCTGTCCCACAGGGCCCCTGCTGCCAGGGCAGGGCAGCTGCGACGGGGTGGCACACGGGGGAGGCACAAGGCCAGTGGCAGCCCCGGGTGAGGGCCAGTGGGGACGGGAGCAGGGACAGGTGCTCTGGGAGAGGGAGCAGGGGGAGGTGGAGGCAGCTCCTGAGGGGGTCCTGGCCTCCTGGGAGCTCCCACGGGGGGGCTGTGTGTCTTCAGCCCAGTGTGGCATGCTGGCAGTGGCTGGGGAGAGCTCTGTTCTCGGGGGCTGTGGTGGTTCCCTTTGGGACAGGTGGTCCCCCAGGGCTCAGGGCTTGCTCTGAGTCTGCTCTTGTGCCCAGAGATCCAAGCCCCAGTGCCGAGGCCTCGCCCCCAACGGCTTCCACAACTCCATCATGGCCCCAGTGGAGAAGAGCTCCAGCCTTACCTGCAGCCTGTGAGTGGAAACTCGGGGTGTCTGAGGCTCAGGGGGGCTACAGGGAGCAGCGGGTGTGTCCTGGTGTCACCAGTGGCACAGATGCAAGGGTGAAGGAGCACGAGCCTCAGGAATGTCAGTATTCTGCTGGGGTGGGGCACAGCTGGGTCGGGAGGGCTGCCAAGGGCAGGGGCCGTGCCACAGCGTGCAGGCAGGGGTGCTGCTCGTGCCTGGGGAGGGGCTGTGAGGAGGGGTGCTGGACGTGGCAGGTGCAGGGCCGTGGCTGAGGTCTGGCATGCACTGCAGGCGGGAGCAGAAGCACTCGCAGTGGGAGTTCCCCGACTGGATCCCAGTGGCACACAGGTGGACGTGTCTCTCTGACAGGTACCCTGGGAGCAGGGCCAAAGGAGAAGTGGGGCAGGTCCCAGCAGTGGCTGGGGTGAGCAAGAGGATGGGTGGCCTGTGCTCCCACACCCCTCTGTGTGTGTGCTGTGGGCTTTGGGGGTCTCTTGGATGTGGCTGTGGAGCAACATGGCCAGCAGCAGGGCCTGTGTGGGGGCAGGGGGCTGTGCTGGGGTGATTGGGTGAGGGGTGGGAGACCTCCTCTCACTTGTGCCTGCACAGCGAGGCTGCCCCGTACCTGCCAGCAGAGGAGAAGTCCCCGCTCTTCTCCGTCCAGCGTGAGGGCATCCAGGACGATGGTGCCTTGTACAGGTTAAACAGGTGTGTCATGGGGTGTCCTCGGGCCAGCAGGCTGCTTGTTGCCTGGCAGGCTGTCCCCCACCTGGGGTGGCAGTGGCTGTCAGGGTGTCCCCAGGCCTGTCTGGGACCAGGGGTTACCCCAGGGCTGCACCCTGGGTTGGGCAGCCGGCCCGTGCCGTGCCCTGGGGTCCCACCAGCCCCTGGCCCAGCTCTGCAGAAGCCTTCACCCCACTCCCACCCACAGGTTCAGCTCTCTGCAGCCCCACCCAGAGCGCCTGGATGTCTCGTTCTTCGTGGGCGGCCCGGTGTGGGCGATGGCGTGGTGCCCAACCCCAGAGGGCTCCGCAGCCCCGCAGTACGTGGCCGTGTCCTGCCACAGGAGCATGGAGGAGACGCACAGTGTGTCTGGGCTTCACTCAGGCCCTGCCCTCCTGCAGCTCTGGGACCTGGGCACGCTGCAGACGGAGCAGGGGTGAGTGGCCAGGCCTGGGGCTGGGGCCTGCCTTGATCGTGTGTCCCTCCATGGCTGTGTGGGTGGTGAGGCTTGTCCTCTCCCAGAGCCACCAGCCTCAGCCTGAACCTGAGGGGGTTGTGCTGGTGGCCAGCTCTGCTAGTGGTGTACACTGGAGTGTGTAGGAGCTTCTGGGCACCAGCTGCCATGTTACTCATGGCCAAACTCATGCCCACAGCTCTCCCAACAAAGCCAGGCTGGCCTATGCCATCGCTGCTGACTACGGCTGTGTGTGGGACATGAAGTTCTGCCCCAGTGGTGCCTGGGAGCCACCCACTGCAGCCCGGATGGTGAGTGCTGCTTGGGGGCTGCCCCAGGTTCCCCGGGGGTCCTGGGAGGTGACCCCATGTGTGAGCCCATCTGTCCATCCCCAGCACCCACAGATGAGCCGGCTGGGCCTGCTGGCTGCTGCCTTCTCAGACGGCAGGGTGGTGGTGTATGCCCTGCCGCACCCTGAGGCCCTGCACCACGCCAAGACAACCCAGGTAAAAGGTAGGAAGAGCCACACTGCTGAGCAGGGGCATCCTGGCCCTCCTCCACCTGTGCCAGGGTGGGACTGCAAGCCCCGGGCTGGGCTCCTCTGTCCATGGGAGCCTGCTGTGCTGGGGATCTGGCAGCAGGGCTGTGCCCCAGCCTGGGAGCTGTGTGGTGGGGAAGTGAGCCCACCTGAGCCCCGAGATTGGGACCCTGCTGCCCCCAGCCTGGCATCTGCCACAGGTGTATAGTGTGGGATCCCAGGCTGCTTTTTGGTGTTGGGAACCTGCTTTGAGTACCATTGTGCCCAGAGATCCAAGCCCCAGTGCCAAAGCCTTGCTTCCAATGGCTTCCACAATTCCAGTGTGGAACTGCAGTGGAGAAGAGCTGCAGCCTTACCTGTGTGAGAGGAGCCCACATGCAGAGTGCTGCTTTGGTTGTGTCTCGGGGGCACTGCAGCAGCCTGGCAGGGATGTAGCTCCCGGGCAGCCCCCGGGGGCTGGGCACTGGGAGGGGGCTCTCAGCAGCGTCACTGTGGCCACAGCAGGGTGCAGGGTGGTGCAGCCACAAAGAGTGTGCCCAGCCATTCCCCATCTCCCTGCTGCCAGAGCTGCTCGCTGCAGCCTGGCCGAGCCGTGTGTTAGCACAGGACAGGGAGTGCAGGGCCGGCTCGGGCTAATGGTGCCTGTAATGAGAGTGCCGAGCCGGCGGGATTGATGGCCGGCGCGTGCTGGCGGTGGGCGCTCAGCCGTGGCCGGCAGGCAGCACTCCCCCGCGGGCGGCGGGGAAAGGCTCCCCGTGCCCCCCCGTGCTGGCTGTGCCTGCGCTGCCGCAGCCCCCCCGGCACGTGGGACGAGCCCCCCCAGCCGCTGCCGGAGCCTGGAGCCCAGCATTGGTGCGGCTGCACGCACGGTGCCCGTGCCTCAGGGCTGGGCTGCAGCGCTGCCGTGCAGCCACAGCATCGCTGCCAGGCTGTGCTGACAGGCTTTCGGGGTCCCAGACTGGGGGGGCTGTGCTGGCACAGCCTGGGGCACTGGGGACCCGCAGTCCTCTGTTCTGCCTGGCAGAGCTGGCGCTGGTCTCCCTGCTGCATCCTGGCTGCCACTGCTGTGCCAAGGAAGATGCACAGCTCCTCCATGTCTGCCCCCACGGCTGCCAGGCTCCAGGCTGTGACGTGCCTGTCTGGTGCTGACTGTGCTGGAGGACAGCCCCACACTGGGGGTCAGGGACCCCAGGCCTGATGGGTGTGGGACAGGTCCCCACAGCACTCTTGTTGAGGGGGCAGATTCTCTCGTAGACAGAGCTGGTGCGTGGTGGTCCTGTGGGTTTCCTGCCCTGAGCTGTTGGGTGTGGGGTCTCTGCAGCCTGCCCTCCCCAGGAGTGCTGCCTGGCTGCTCAGTCCTGTCAGCCATGGAGCAGATATCCTGCACAGCTGCTCTGCCTCCCTGGAGTGGTCAGAGTCAGGTGTGACCCCTGTGTGTCACCGTGTCACCTCAGCTTTGGTGCCGGCCATGGTGGGGCAGGAGCCCATCATCTCTGCCTGCGGCATGTTTCAGGGGCTGCTTTCTCCAGCACGCAGGCAGGCCTGGCTCCTGGGGGTCCTGCTGCCACCAGTTTGCTCCTCCCTGTGCTTCAGCTCCTGCTGTGCTGGGGACACTGCTCCAGGGGAATGGCGGGACAGGGACTGGGAGCCCTGGCCAGGGCTGAGAGGAGCTGCAATCCAGGCTCCAGACAGGGAGCTCCCAGGACAGCCAAAGCCTGCCCTGACCCCCTTCTGCTCTCTTCTAGATGGGTCCCTCCACAAGCACCTTATCTGCAAGGTCAGTGTTCCCTGCCGTGGTGATCCCTGGCAGGGCCGGCACCCGGCGAGCCCCCAGCAGTGCAGGTGGCAGACCCTGGGGAGCCCAGGCACCTGCAGAGTGTTGGAGGGGCAGAGCAGTGTCGTGCTCCCACCCCAGGCATCCTGCCCTTGGGGCATGGATGGCGCTGGTGCAGAGCTGTGACCCAGGGCTCTCCCTTGGCCCCCAGGTACAGTGCATCGCCACACTTCAGGTGGGCTCCATCCAGGCAGGTAATGGATCCGAGTGTGGACAGTGCTTCAGTCTCTCCTGGATGCCTTCCAAGCCCCACCATCACCTGGCAGCAGGGTTTTATGATGGTGAGTCTCTTTCTGTGCCCTGTGGCAGCACTCAGGAGCAGCCCTCACCCTGGCAGAGGCACTGGAGCCTCAACTGCTCAGCCTCAGCTGGTGCTGGCACCTCTGCCCAGCCCTGGGTCTGGGGAAGGCTTCTCTGGGCTGGCTGTTGTTGTTCTGACATACCTCCAGGCTGGTCACTGTTTGTCTGTGCCTGTGTCTCTGTGCTTATCCACATCTGTTGAGCTTGCCTGGATGGAATTTTCTGCTAGGCTTGCAGTGATCCACAGCTCTGTGCTATGCTGCCAGGACCTGCCACCATGCTGTCTGCTTGGAGCCTCAGCTCCAGCCTGGCCACCATGTTCCCATGGCCCTGCCTGTGCTGCTGCTGATCCCCCGCTGAAGCACCTGTGCCGTTGGCAGTGCCTGATGGGCACAAGTCTTTCCACAGGCACCGTGGCAGTGTGGAACCTGCTCACCAAATCCCTGCTGCAGTGCGTGCACCAGCCTGACGCCTCCCTCAAGCTCTACCCTTTCCGGTGCTTTCTGGCCCATGACCAGGCAGTCCGGAGCATTGAGTGGTGCAAAGCTGACAGGTGAGGGCAGGAGCAGCCACAGATGCTGCCGAGAGAGGAACTTCCTCCTTTTGTTAAGAAGGGGTTGCGAGGCCGTGGTGCCAATGGCACTTGGCCCTCTGCAGCACCAGGGAGGTTGGGTTGGGCTTTCCAGGCTGAGGGCAGCTGGGTCACTGTAAGACTGGGGCCACCTGGGCCCTGTGGTGGGCCAGGGCACGGCTCTGTGCTGGGCTCTCAGTGCTGCCTTTCTCCTGCTGCTCAGCAACTTCCTGGTCACGGTGGGCAGCGATCGCAAGATCAAGTTCTGGGACCTGCGGCGGCTCTACGAGCCCATCAACAGCATCAAGCGCTTCCTGAGCACCGAGGTGGCCTGGCTGCTGCCCTACAATGGCATCACTGTGGCCCAGGACAACTGCTATGCCCCGTGAGTGCTGGGGGCCAGTCCTGCTGCCAGGGCCTGGTCCAGCTTCCCAGGGGCCCCTCTGGCTTCCCCCTCCCTGGGACTGTCCAGCTGTGCCACAGCAAGGGCAGGCTCTGCTTGTTTTGTGTCACAGCACAGCAGCAAAGTGTGACATGCCCTCTGCCATGCCAGCCTGAGGCAGAGGCAGGGGGGCAGGGGATGGCAGCAGGAGTGCTGCTGAAGGGGTTTGGGAACTCAGTGGGTTCTTGGCCTCTGGGAGCTGCCTTACCTCTGCTTGCTCTGGACTCTACGACATGCTGCTGGAGCAGGAACAGCCCCCTCACCCTGGGCCAGTTCTGTGGGGAGGTGGGCTGTGCCTGGCTCTCGCATTCCTGGTGACAGGAATGGCAGAGTCAGGCATCCCAGGGCTCATTCTGTGCCTTGCACCACAGGTACGGGCTCTGTGGGATCCACTACATCGACGCCGGGTACCTGGGCTTCAAGGCCTATTTTGTGGCCCCTCGCAAGGGCACCGTGTGGGTAAGGGCCAGTGCAGGGCCACTCTGTGCCAGTGGCCAGGCCGGACCCAGCTGGGGCTGGGGCTTGTGGTGGGAACCCCGTGCCCTCCAGCCCTCTGTCCCTGCAGAGCATCTCTGGCTCGGACTGGTTGAACACAGTAGCTGCGGGTGACATCACCGGTGAGCTGGTGGCAGCGGTGCTGCCTGACCTGGCTGTCAACCCCCTCAACATCAAGCGCTCCTCGGACCGCAGATTTGTAAGAGATCATCGCGCTCGGGGGACCCAGCCCCGCACACAGGGCCAGCAGGGACAGGGGGACCGTAGGAAAAGTGTCCTGGGCCCCCATCCCACTCATGCCTGGTGGTCCTGTCTGCAGAGGAGCAGCAGGATCTGTGTCAGCCCTGCCCTCAGCTGCCTCTCACCCGCAGCCCGTGTACAAAGCTGACCTGCTGCCCTGCAGCCCTGACGGGCCCGAGGGCAGCGAGCAGGCCCTGCCCAGGACCCATCGCTACAGTGAGATGGTCGCCAGGAGCTACATCCGATTCCAGGACACGGACCTGGTAGGAGAGGACGGGGGCAGCCAGGGCTCGTGGGGCTGTGGCTGGGCACTGGGGTGGAGGGCCGGGAGGCGCTGCTGGGGCGTCGGGCAGCCCCTTGCCTCGGGCAGGGCTGAGGTGATGGTGCCTGCGCTGCTCCTGCCTCGGGCCCGCCGCCCAAGGTGGTGCCGCCGCTTTCCAGCGCAGCTTCCAGAACTTCACGAGCCGGGAGCCCATGCGCCGGATGCACGTGCAGGAGCTGAAGGCAGAGCTGAGCCTCGACCGCCTGCAGCTGGAGGCCCTCCACAAGGTCAGTGGGCCGGTGCGAGCCCCAGCCCAGCGCTCAGATGGCTCTGCTCTGCTCTGGGCCGAGTCCCAGCACCCCAGCCCTGTCCCTTAGGAGCTCCTCTCTCCCACAGGTGCGCTTCAGCCCTAACCTGGACTCGCAGGGATGGCTGGTGTCGGGCGGGCAGGCGGGCATTGTGCGGGCGCACTGCCTGGCAGGGCTGGCCTCCGGCGTGGGCCACCAGCTGCTCCCAGAGTGCCAGGCCCGCTTCAGCATCCTCTATGGGGACACACCCAGCAGCCCTGCCCCCCCTGAGCACCCCCTGCTGCCAGCCGAGTAGGGGTGTCAGTCCCTCACGCTGCTGCCATGTGCTCACCCTGGGCAGGGCTTGGGGCTGGGGCCAGCTGGGCTGGCGTGGGGCTGTGGGCCCTCAGTGCTGCTTTCCTGATGGGCGTCTGCTGCAGGAGGGACAGCTGCTCCCAGCCGTTCCCTGGGATGCTCGGGACACTCGTCCTCGTGCTCTGGGCCTGGAAGGGTCTGTCTGCACTGTTTGCTCTGAGCTGGGCAGGGGTGGTGGGACCTGGCGTGTCCAGGGCTGAGCTGTGGGTGTGGCCCTGCAGAAGCCCCGTGGGCTCCACCAGCGTGGAGCTGTGCTTGTGGTCGCCTCCATCCCCACGGAGCGCCGGAGGGCAGGGAAGGGGCTGGGGGCTGTGGAGTTGCTCACATTGAGCTCGTGTTCAGCTGTGCAGAATAAACGTGGTTGGTTTTGTATGGCTGTGGTGGTACTGGCACCAGGGCGGGCATTGCTGGTAGCTCTGGCTCTAGGGGCCCACCCCCAGCTCCACCGGTTCCCTCCCCATGCCCCTCTGCTGCACTGCTGCTGCTGCTCCAACACATTTATTGGCAGCGCTGGCACCGCTGCTGGCACAGATGGACAGATGGACACCAGGGGCACAGGCACGACTCAACAGAGGGAACGGGTCAGGGCCAGGCACAGGAGGATTCAGACAGAGCCCAGGCAGCAGCATGGGGGGCTGGGGCCAAGGCCAGGTCTGAGGTCCCCCATGGGGCATGTCCCTTCCTGCCAGGACAGACAGGCTCCCTGGGAACCGGGTGGTGGGGCAGGATTCTGCCTCCTCAGGAGCTGTGGCACAGCAGGGAGGGGAAGATTCCAGGGAACTCCTGTGCCAGGCCAGGCCATGTGTCCATTCCCCCAGGACACCACACTGGAGTCACCGTCCCACCCCAGGGCTCCGCAGCAGAGGGGTGGGTAGAGGAGGGGATGGGATCTCAAGCACTGCCCTGCTCTAGGGCACAAGGAGCTGGGGCCAGGGCCACGTCTGGCCCAACACAGCAGCAGGTGGGGGTCTCAGGTTTGGGGGTCCTGGCAGTGGGGACAGCCTGCTGACTCCTCCTGGTGCTGCTCCACCTGTACTGTGCACGAGACAAAGCCAAACCTGCTCTGGAGCCGGGCAGTGACCTCCTGCAGCACCATCTCGGTGTCAGCGCCGGCATCTGGGAGCAGCAGGGCAGGGGCTCGTTCCTGGCACGGCCAGTGGCCCCCCCATGGCACCCAGCCGTGCCCCGTGCGGGTCACTCACCCACAGCCACGTGCACCGACACGGCGGGGTGGCTCAGCGTCAGCGCCCAGAGGTGCAGCTCGTGGACACCCCGCACGCCGCTGGCCCCCAGCAGCACCTCCTTCACCGCATCGAACTCCAGGCCCCGCGGAGTCCCTGCCAGCACCACCTGGTCACACGGGCCCGCCCTTGGGCCCCAGACACAGCACCCACCTGGGTGAGGGCTCCCAGGGCAAGCCACCAGGGCTGGGGGCTTCCCGCCCTGCTCTAGGGCACAAGGAGCTGGGGCCAGGGCCACGTCTGGCCCAACACAGCAGCAGGTGGGGGTCTCAGGTTTGGGGGTCCTGGCAGTGGGGACAGCCTGCTGACTCCTCCTGGTGCTGCTCCACCTGTACTGTGCACGAGACAAAGCCAAACCTGCTCTGGAGCCGGGCAGTGACCTCCTGCAGCACCATCTCGGTGTCAGCGCCGGCATCTGGGAGCAGCAGGGCAGGGGCTCGTTCCTGGCACGGCCAGTGGCCCCCCTGGCACCCAGCCGTGCCCCGTGCGGGTCACTCACCCACAGCCACGTGCACCGACACGGCGGGGTGGCTCAGCGTCAGCGCCCAGAGGTGCAGCTCGTGGACACCCCGCACGCCGCTGGCCCCCAGCAGCACCTCCTTCACCGCATCGAACTCCAGGCCCCGCGGAGTCCCTGCCAGCACCACCTGGTCACACGGGCCCGCCCTTGGGCCCCAGACACAGCACCCACCTGGGTGAGGGCTCCCAGGGCAAGCCACCGGGGCTGGGGGCTTCCCCAGGGGAGCCAGGCTGGGCATGGTGGCTTTGGGGTGAGACAGGCCTCACCTTGGAGCCAGTGCACCTGGCTGTGGTGGAGAGGAGGAACTGGGGGGATTCAGGTGGGGCAGGGGAGGCACAGGGGAGGCGAGCTGCCTCATGGGCAAAGTGCTGTGGCAGATGAAGCTCCAGGAGCCCCTGTACCCCCCCTGTACCTGTGGTCTCAAGGAGGAACTGGGGGGATTCAGGTGGGGCAGGGGAGGCACAGGGGAGGCAAAGTGCTGTGGCAGATGAAGCTCCAGGAGCCCCTGTACCCACCCTGTACCCACCCTGTACCTGCGGTCTCGCACCCCTTTCACTCACTGCTCACCTTCCATGAGGACCCTGAAGACGTCTCTGAGGATCGTGATGGTGGAGCCAAGGACGAAGACCGAGAAGAAGAGGGTGCTGATGGGGTCTGCGATCTTGCACTGGGGCTGCAGAGAGCGGGGTCTCTGTGAGGCTGGGGGCAGCGCCCACGTGGCACCTGAGTGGCACTGGGAGAGCTGCTCCCACGGGCAGCGCTGGGGCAGTCCAGCCCGGGCACCTTGAAGTAGATGATGGTGGCAGCCACGAGGACGCTGACGCTCTGCAGCAGATCACCCACCACGTGCACGAAGGCTGCCCGCACACTGGTGCTGCCGGGCAGGGGGCTGCGGCTGGGCTGGCAGGCCACAGAGCTCTCCAGCTGCTCGTAGGCCCCTGTGCCATGGCTGTGGCCAGCAGGGGACTGGTGCAGGATGTAGGCCATGCTGGAAAGAGCAGGGCTGGCTCAGTGCCACAGTGACAGGGCATGGGGGCCCTGCTGGCCCTGCTCAGGCAAAGGGGGCACAGGCAGTCACACCTGGGTCTGGGGACAGTGGGAAGAGTGGGGCTGGAGGTGCAGCAGGGCCAGAAGGTGTGCAGGAACAGGGCAGGGCTTTGGTCCTGGGGCTCATGACAGGGCTTGGGAGGCACTACTTGGGGGACCAGGGAATGTGGGGTGTGGGGATGTAGGCACGTGGACTGGAAGCCCTGAGCACACGGGGGACAGGGAAGTGGGGATTGCAGCGCCTGGGGACACAGGGCTGGTGCACAGGGACATGAAGTGACCTGGGAGCACAGTTGGGGTTCCAGGGGCACAGGGGGCAGGACTCAGGCTGATGGGGCGCAGGGACCACAGGTGCACACGTGGGACGTACACCAGATTGACGCCGACGGCGCAGGCGGACGTGGCCAGCATGGCTCGCGCCTCGATCTCGTAGTCGTTGCTGATGATGCGGGCGGCTGCCAGATAGACCAGGGCCGCGGTCACAACCCAGATGGAGAGGACAGAGGCCAGCGCACCCAGCGTCTCTGTGGGGTGAGACCCATCAGCACCAACCCGGCCGTGGGGGTCCCCCGGAGCCCGCAGGGCCGTGCCCCTCAGCTAACCTGAGCGGTGCCAGCCGAAGGTCATGCTCTTGGTGGGTGGGCGGTTGGAGACCCAGAGGGAGAAGAGGCTGACGGACATGCTGCCCACGTCTGTCAGCAGGTGGGCTGCGTCCGTCATGATGGCCAGGCTGTGTGCCAGGTAGCCACCTGCGGGCACAGAGCAGCTGGCACCCCGCGCCCCGCCGGCAGCCCCCCACCCCGGCCCAGCCGCTGTTACCTATCACCTCCCCGACCATGAAGAGGCAGCAGACGGCGCAGGCGACGCTCAGCTGCTGGCGGGCCTGGAGCCTGCCCTGCCCGGGGCTGGGGGTCGGGGGGCTGCAGCGGCAGCGGGCATCTGGAGCCGGGGGGGCCGCCAGTGCTGAGGGGTCTCGAGAGCCTGTGAAGAGACTGGGGGCGGGGGTCACTGCCGGCGACACCGGCTGGGGGGCTGCTGTCCAGACCCCCCGAGGGTCCTGCTGCCGCCCACCGGTATGCAGCCGGGCGGTCGGTGGGGCACCGGCGGAACCCCCCAGCTGGACGAGCAGCCACGGTTCCGGCGGCAGCAGCAGGAGGCGGTGGCCCGGGGCTCCCGCCGGAACCGAAGACGGGACTGGCGCGGGTACCCGTGGGGAGGTGCGGGTGGGAGCGAGGTGTTGCGCCCGGGGCCAGGCTGCGGGACGTGCCACCGGTGCGGAGACGGGGCCTGGGGAAGGGGCGGCGGGGGCCGAGGTCCCGGTGCGTGGGGCAGCAGTGCGGGAGCGGGGACGGGCAGCCCACCGGGACGGGGGCTCACGGATGAACCGTACCGCTGTGGGCGGGTGATGGATGGATGGCACCGGTGTGCGTGGGAGACGTTTGGGCGCCGATAGGTGCGGGACGGACACCGGAGGGGGGAGCGAGGCTGGCGCACCGTGGGGCTGGTTCCGCTTGAGCGGAGGTGCCGGTGGCGGGGCGAGCGTGCCGGTGGCGGGGTGACGGTGCAAGTGGCGGGCGGTCAGGGTGGCGCGGGGACTGCGGAGGTGCCGTGTCCGCTCGGATGGATGAAGGCACGGGGGCGGGCGGGGACGGACGTGCCGGCGGTGCCGGTGCCGGTGCCGGGGGTGGGAGCTGCGCGGCGCTCCGGGGGCTTGCGGGTATCGGAGGAGCCGAGGGCGATGGGGGCGATGGAGGTGCCAGCGATGATGGGCGAGCAGGTGCCGGCAGCGCGGGTGCGGGAGGACCGAGGGCTGCAGATGCGGGAGATAATGGAGGTGACGGTGCGAGGAATTGCCGGGGACCCCGGGGGGTGATGAGGTGCCGCGGGTGGTGGTGCCAGGGTGAAGGGGGTGCCGATGATGGAGGTGCTAGCGCCGGTAATGGGGCTGTCGGGACGGTGGTGCGCCGGTGCTGGTGGAAGTGCCGGTGCTGATGGAAGTGCACCGGAGTGTCGGAGGTGCCGGGGCGATGGGGGGGCCGGTGATGGGAGCGCCGTCGGTGCCGTAGGCGCCGGTGATGGAGTTGTGCTGGCGGTGGTGGGATGCCGGTGATGGGTGCCGGGGCCATGGGTGCCGGTGATGGGAGCCGGGGCGATGGGTGCCGGTGATGGGATGCCGGCGGGGTGATGGGTGCCGGTGATGGGTGCCGGGGCCATGGGTGCCGGTGATGGGAGCCGGGGCCATGGGTGCCGGTGATGGGATGCCGGTGATGGGTACCGGTGATGGGTGCCGGTGATGGGATGCCGGTGATGGGTACCGGTGATGGGATGCCGGCAGGGTGATGGGTCCCGGTGATGGGTGCCGGTGATGGGTGCCGCGGCGATGGGTGCCGCCAGGCTGCGGGACGTGCCACCGGTGGGGAGACGGGGCCTGGGGAGGGGGCGGCGGGGGCCGAGGTGCCGGTGCGTGGGGCAGCAGTGCGGGAGCGGGGACGGGCAGCCTACCGGGACGGGGGCTCACGGATGAACCGTACCGCTGTGGGCGGGTGAT